ATAAATATTCCTATACAAGAAAACCGAGTCTTTTCTACTAGCGAAGGAAAGTCGTCGGAACCGGGCTTCATAGGGTGGATACGTTTAGAGGGAAGACACTTGGATTCCTCTAGCGAGTAACCTCAAGTCGTTGAAGTTACAACCGGGAACCGATTCCCTCATCCATCATCAATAGTGAAGGAGTTCAAGAAATTCGGTAAATATTTTTACTAGTATTTACTTTATAGTAACAAATCAAAATTTGTATATGATGCATGTTTTAAAGATGACGATCAGTTAATTCGCAATTAGCATGTACGGGTGTTGTATTTATACGATAAATACTTACTTTAAAAATTTTAAATTCCGCTGCGTACAGCCCGTACGGTACTATCGAACCCAACAGTTTTATGATATTGTTTAATTTTTTCATTTATATCTATGAAAAATAAAGAATACAAATTAACTCAACTTAAAATTTTCTCAAATAATAAATTTAGCCATTTAATTTTGTCATTTATATCTATGAAAAATAAAGAACACAAGTTAACTCAACTTAAATTTTTTTCAAATAAATAAATTAGCCATTCTTAATTTTTTATTTTATTACCAATATCAATTATATTTAAAATTGAAGTTGTTCAAGTGACTGCAACTAATAACAAAGCCACATGGCGTATTTGTTTTCCGATTTTCTTCTTTTTATTTTGGACTTGTTCTCTAGTTTGTGAGTTCTTGTTATTTAAAAATTTATAAAAAATATATTTTTAAATATGATTTTATTAATCCTTTGTATATGTGATGATACTTTGTGTATTTAATTCTAATAATGTCAAAGATTGTGTAATTATTAAAAAAATTATAAATTTCTATATACAAATACAAAATAAAAATTGTCTAGGGCCTCCAAATTCTGGAGACGGCCCTGCCTTTGGACAACACCATTCTGTCGGAAGAAGATAAGATAATACCTTCTGACCTTTGGACAGTACCATTCTGTCAGAAGAAGCAAATCTAGGATAAGATCCCCGACCTTTGGACAACATCATTCTGTCGGGGCAAGCAGTAGTTTCTAGTTATTCATGTTGCATGCTAATATTATTGTATTTATTATTATATTGAATATGTGCGTAGTATGTAGCCTCACTGAGCTAGTGGTTTGCTCATCAATTATTTTTTCCACCTTTCAGGTTAATCGAATTGGTGTCGGACACGATGGCGAGGGTGGTCTATTATTTATGCGCTTTTGAGTTATTTATGAACTTTTAGAACTATGCATGAGATTATTTCGAGACTCGTGTTTAAAATTGTTTACGAACCTTGTTTAAGTTTTTATGAGCATGATTTATTATTTGAGTATGAGTTGAATTTTTTAAAAGATAAGTTACCAGTTGGAAAGCGAGTTCTCACAAGAGCAAGTTTGAGCTAAGTTTTTATAAGAAATAAGATTTCTGCAAAGTTAAGAAGAAAACGTTTTACCGTGAGTACTCTAGAGTTTCAATATGTTTTTGAAAAGCGAAAGATTACTTGTGAAATTTAGAAGCTTTCGAAAGATAAGTTAGAAGTTTTCCAAAGATAAGTAGAGGATGCTTACACCAACAGACCACACATGAATAATACCCTCTAGAAAGAGAATTTTTACCACTCCACCCGCGAGACTCAAAATCTTGAGGAATTTACACTCTCCACTTAAACAATCCATTTTTATTATATAATTACATCTCTTATATAATTATTTACAAATTAACTAAATTAGTAAAATTTATTTGCATATATGCCTAAGATCTGTTTTTCATCTTTATGGTATGTTTTAAATTTATAATATATTTTCATTAACTAGTGTGTACCCCGTGCGATGCACGGGAACAATATTAAATTAACAATATTATAAATAGACCTTGAGTTTGAGTTACTCAATGGCGGAAGTGGAAACTACTATTGAGCCTATTTAAAAAGAGAAAGAAAAAAAATAATTATAAATTAAAGAGAAGGATAAACAATACTTAATAATTATAAATTAAAGATTCGGGGGCAAACAATGTAAAACTATTTTGTATAAGAGAATATGAAATTTGCATTATTTTGTATAAGAGAATATAAAATTTGTATTTTTAATATTAAAAACACCTAAAATATTATATTAGTATATGTAAAAGTATTCAAAATTTTCTATATTATTTTTGAAAGATATGAAGTCACCTACAACTTTTCTAAACAATTTTAGAAGGAAAACATATCTAAAACATTTGAATTTAACATTGTGTAGATATGAAGTCACCTACAACTTTTCTAAACAATTTTGAAAGGAAAACATATCTAAAAATATTTGAATTTAACATTGTGTAAAAAAGATTATTGTAGACTATTTTGTAAGAAAACATGTCTACAAATATTTAAATTTAACATCAATTATTTATATGTGTATATTTATATATATATATGTGAATGTATATATAGACGAATATGTAAAAAAAATGTCTAAACAATTTGTTTAAAATATTTAAAATATTATAAGAATAATTTAAAAAGACATTATGTCAGATGATACCGAATTTATGGCGTTACTTCCATCTAAAAAATTTGATTACACACCATTATTATTATACTTTTTACGTTGTTATCGAAGAGGATGTATTGTTAGCGTTTCTTCCATTTTGATTACACACCATTATTATTATACTTTTTACGTTGTTATCGATGATGTATTGTTAGCTTATAATATTTGTAAAAATATTAGTAATTAGACCGATGAAAATTAACCTTTTAAAGTAGAGAATGGATTTGTATTAGTAATTATGAATTGATTTTTATTTTATTTTAAGATGAGATTTTTTAAACTATGCAATGGGATGTTGTAACAGATAAGAGATAAACTCTAGATTTATGCTATTAGATTTTATAACGCGATTTTCAATAGCAAAAAACAGGAAAAAGGAAAACAGATTCTAACACAATTAATTTGCCGATTTTGTTGCCTTATCAATATTGTCCAATAATTACTATATATAGGATACATTTAATGTATTTGGCGGGAAAACATTTCTAAAATTGTAAAAATGTTATTCTTTTTATATAATGATAGATTATGTCTCTCTCATCTCCCCCAACTCTTCCTCTCTCTCTCTCTCTTTCCCAAAGCAAGAGACTGTATGCCCGTGACCCTCTCTCCTCCGGCGGCCGAACACGACAACTCATCGGAACCCTAATTTGAACCCCCAATCTCAGAGTGTATAACGCTCCTCTCCCCGTCGGTTCAAATTCTAAAAGCAAATTTATGGTGGTGCAGCATACAAAAACAATAGGCCACGGAGGCTTAAATTACCAGGTGAAGCTTTACGGAACCCCACCACCAACGAACTCAAAATCCTTCCTCCATCCCCCCGTATCTTGGACACAAGGTACTATTGGCAATTCATATTAATTATTGAGAATTTTTTGTCCCACTCGAATGATAAATTGAATATATCCACAAGATTTATCATTTGCACAATTGCAATTTTTTTTATTTACTAACATTCATGCCCATAAAAATATAAGGTTTAATTATATTTGCTTTTTTTTTTCGCAGTTCAAGCTGATCGCCGATATGAAGAACAACATCAAGAGGATTGTCCACCTCGATGATCTTGCTGCAATTATTTCAAAAAAAAGATGATGTAATGAATTGACGTTGATTGTTGGATATATATATGGTTTCATTCTTCTGTTCGCGATTCTCTACTTTGATTCTTGTCAGTGCATTTTGTTGGGATTTTCAAATCTTGTTTGAGTTGATTGTTTTCTTAAGATGGTGTGAAGTTTTTGCCAGTTCGCGTTTCTCTATTTTGTTATATGTTTTAGTATATGTAGAGTGTATAGGCAGTATATGTTCAGTATATTGTACGTCTTAGTCAGTATATTTTTAGTATATTCTTAGTCATGACATTAACAGGAAGACGTTCGACGAGTATTATCAGTATATTCTCGGTATATTTTCTCATGACATTAACAGGAAGACGTTCGACGGGTATATGTACAGTATATTTGCAGTATATGTTAAAGCAATATATATAGGCGACGAAGATTTCGTGAAATTTCGTACTCTTTGCCCGATTTCCTGAAATTACGCGCCAGGAACATGAAAGGTTGTTCCACTTACCTTGTAACTGATTTTAGGCATGATTATAATTAATATTTATCTTTTAGGTATATACACAATTTAATTGGTATGGATGGTAATATTGCAATTATCTAAAAATCTGTAAGTATACATGAAAATTTCCCCAAAATCTTTGTGAACAATGATTTACCACACAGAAAAATGGGGTTTCCTAGAATTTACAACTTCTGGTGAAGGAAACTATTGTAAGAACAATGAATAATCATTTTTAGTCCTGGTCTGCCAAAACGTCTGTGGGGAATTAATTATGAAGAGAAACAAACATAACATAATGAGCTGGAGCCTGGAGAACAAGATATAGGGCAAGGAAAAGGAAAATCAAACTGATCACAAATGAAATAAACAATTCATTGTGATTAGTGAAAAATGTCAATCACAAAACCATATTCAGTTCACACTTGAACTGGATTGTAATGAGCTTAGAAATGCCACTCATTGGAGTAACCATTTCCAGATTCACTCGGAAGTTTCTCATCCGCATGGATACAAAAATGAACAAATGGATCAAGAATTTTGCTTACATTATAACAATGCTCGTATCTCTACAGTTCCCGATCAAATCGGTTTTGTGAAATTCAACGGAGTATACCTTTTTCTTCAATTCCCCACCCCCAACTAAAATTTTCACCAGTGCCATCAACAAGCCCCCTCATTAGGGTCCCAAACCCACATGCAAAAACACAAAACAGGAAAAAGAACTAAAGGAGAAAAACTCGCTAATATTACAACCTCTGCATATCTGTACAAACGTTGCAAACCTGACTATGGGACTCCAAACCATTTTTCAGTCGTCCTTGGTGCCTTAAATGCGTACGGGCAGCCCGAAATTCTGAAAAGTTCTGATTTCTCCTTTAAGGCCAGCAGTTACTATTACCATACCCCATGCAGACCTGTTCTGGTATAACCCATTCGAAAAATCCACATTTACATGGGGACTTCTGTTCTTAGCAGTAGCCAAAAGAAGTTTCTCCTCAGGCCACGTCACTGAGACTTTATCAAAAAGGCCATTTGTTACACAAGATAAATGTCCATTAAGAGGGTTACTAGTGCATTCACCAGACCCTAATGATGGGCCCTCACTGCAGTTAGTTTCCCCAACAGGTGTAGTCGGATGGTACTCATTATAGACATCCTCACAGCCATTATAATTACCATTTTGTCCTCCAGCAGGAAAATCCTGGGGACCCCATTTGTCAGACAGACCAGGCCAAGGGATTGCCATGGATACATCTTGACAGTGAAAAAACTCGTAAGACTGAGTAACAGTGACACCTTTGGTTCTGTTTGGTCTGGACTCGGCTTCATGTCTCCACACGTAAACATATGAATCCTCACTGGCAGAGATGATGTATTTTCCATTGGATGTGAGGGAGGCTGATATTTGGCTGTTCGTGTTGCGAAACCCTGTGAAGGATTCAGAATTGGTTCATTTGGTCTCTCTAAAGTATTTCAACCAAATTCACAAGATAGTTTATATTAAACCGTACAAGGGATAGCTTAAAGCCAATGAACAAAGTCCTAGGTTCAGGTACTGAAAGCAGGATGTCATGCTAAATCACTTGGTCTCTGTAAGTATATCAAACAAATTGAAGAATTTGAAAAACAGTTATGTTGCATTTTTCTCACCTTTAAACTTGTGAACAAGATCGACACCATCTATAACCCGGATCCGGGAATCCGCAGACGTCACGAGCACTTCTGATGTACTTCCAGGTGCAAACTGTCCAATATAAACTATCCACAACTATAAGAATAAGTCGAACATGACTAGCTTCCGGAAGAATAAGAATTATGTGAAAGACAAAGTTTACGATATAAATTAAAACGGAATGATGACAGAGAGGCTTGACTAGCTTCCAGAAGAATAAGAATTTTGTGAAGGACAAAATTTACGTTATAAACTAAAGCGGAATGGTGACAGAGGGGTCACCTTCACCCCCATGAGTGAGTTCTTTTTGGAAGTGGTGTTATAAGAAATATATAGGTTGTTGAGTGGATCTTATAGAACATTGGCCGATGAAATGAATTACCTGAAAACCAGTTATTTTCTTTTGATGAGATTTCTTCTTCTTATTCTGCAGATTGATCTGGCTTTTCTGGAGCAATTTATTTTCTGTAACCGCAAGCATACATATAAACTAGCTTGAAAATACAAAGTTATCCTTCTTAACAAAAATATCATCCCTCACCTGATGTGTTGTACAAACGACAGCTGCCCTTGTACGTACCAACTAGTGCACCCTACCAAAATTTTACAGAAAACATCTTTGAGAATAGTCTGAGCATACATAAAAGTTCGGACAAATTTCCATCCAAGGGGCAGTAACAATATTAAAGAGGCAATAATAATAAGATTCCACTTCCTAGGAACATGTGACTGGTAGCTGACCTGCCCATCTGGTGTGTAGCAAGCTGCAGTTACCATTTCATTCAAATCATTCCAATCAACCACTTGGCGGTCAGGAATGCTCCATATCCGCACCTTGGAATCAAGGGATCCACTGATGAAGTATCTATCATCAACTGGGTTAAACTGGATGCAGGTTACTGTAGTCACGAAAAAATCCAGAAAACATATCAGTAAATGAACCATATTTGGACTCTATCTTCAGCTAGTTCTATAAAGCCTAATATTAAACTATGCGAATGGTGAAGTGAATATAAGTTTTAACAACGTGGTGAACTACAATTATTACAAAGATCAAATAAAATAAACCTTCGGAATGTGCAGAAACCAAGCCATCGAAATTATCAACCAATTTAACTATATGAAACTCTCAACTTTTGTTGAGCAACTTTAATCCTTTGCCCATAACTTCACTATATGAACATTCTACTGCAATCTTTCTCATTAAGTGAAAACCAATCAAATTAATCTCCAGCCTCCTCAGCTAGCATATCTGAGCATGCATTACGTATACATGGCATCTGAAACAGCTCATTGTTATGATCCACTGCTGATTTTTCACAGGGCTATATCCCTATTTAGTAAACTATGAGCTATCAGTTAGATTATCTTTCGTAAATACAAAGCTAGGCAGGAGTAGTTATTTCCTTGATTAATATGTTGTTTTTATAGCTTACTTTACCCTTAATTCTATCAACTGGTCCAAGCTGCCGGATTTTAATCACATAGATTCAAGAACTGAGCAGAAGGCACTCCATTTTTCACATAGATTCAAGAAGTGAGCAGAAGGCACTCCATTTCCAATAACCAGAAACGGAATCACTTGAACAAATCTACAGAAAATCTATGCAATTACCATAGTCACTATGGGAAAAGATCTTTAAACAAGACTTGCTGGACAGGTCCCAGAGGCGCACTGTTTTGTCCATTGAAGACGAAAGCAGTTGCTGTAGGAGAATACAGATAAGTGTCAGCAAGTTCTCAAAATTCTTGACTAAAATAGTCCAAATAATAACAATCTCATCAAACTGAACACATGTGATTACTAAACTAATTTCAAAAGGAGACAGTTAATCGACATAGTAAGTATCATTACTAAGGTATGTGTTGCCATAACCAAATGTGCAAGTACTCCTGCATAGAAACTACTAGTTCATGTTCACTTTCAACTACCCCATTAAATATAGGCTCGACATAGCATTATACCACACACTTATGTAGATCACTTACAACAACTGAAGACATTAATCGTCATAAAAGGACTTCCTTGGATGAATCTATTAGGAGTGAGAAACTCAATAATCACATTATGATCAACCTTCTACGTAAGGCAACTCAGATTTCTACAAATCAACAACAATTAAAGAAGATTTCATTTAAACCATCACAGTTATTCAATTGGGCCGTTAGAAAAATAAGAGAGAATTTCTATCTCGCCTGAGACTTGGACCATGAGAGATCCAGCACATCCTCTAAGTGTCCGTGAAACGAACAGGTAGGTTTATCTGAAAGACCAAATACAGTCTCCGGCACAAAGATCTGTTCAAAACTCACGGATTTCCTGCTTATAGAAGATCTCCCTCTCCTCTTTTTCTCCAACTGACCATCCAAATTCGGTGACATTGATGACGGCTCAGGCGACACATTGCCTAGAAAAGAAAGATTGAAATTCCCATCCTCTAATTTGTCGGAAAAGAAATCCTCTTTCCTTTCTGTCTCCACAACCTGCCACACTTGAATCACACGGTCCTCACCAGCACTAGCCAGATATTTCCCATCCAAACTGAACTGAATTGACCAAATCGACCCTTTGTGACCTTGTATCTCTTGGCTCTTGTAAAGCGCTGTCAGGTCTTTAACTGACTTACCATAATGCTTGACCCTGACTTTCTCAGGCCCATGAAAGGAAACATCCTGGCTATCATCAGTGGCAGAGCTTGACCTCCTCCCATCCTTCTCAGATGACGTGTCCCTCTCATCACTACTCCTTCTCTCCTTATGACCCGTGACAGAAATAGCGACATTTTTTATACTCTTCAGCCAACTACCCCTCTTCTTTGACTTAGATGCACCCCCATCACCAATTGAATCCAAGCTCTCCCGGTTTCCATCCTCAAAATTCTGTCTCCTCATTAACTCTTGCACGATTGGTGAAGTCCCAACACACATTTCAGATGTAAACTCCTCCATGGTTAACTGGCGGCCGGTGCCCACTTCCTTGATCTTTTTCCAAGTCCCATCCTCCTTCATCTCTTTCACCATGAACTCTTTTCCATTGTCGAGATTTTTTATCACGCACAGGCCATTAACATCATCAGGTCCATTACACTCCAAATTCCCACCCAGATCCTCCTCCCTTACAAGAGGTGGGTGTGCACTACTTAAGCTCCAATTATGGTTGGAAACTTCGACTTTAGTCTTTATTTTTGGGGGTTTATTGGGAGAGGCTGTACAGCTGGCAGGGGATTTACTGCTGCTACTTGATCTTTCAGTACAACAATGTCTTTGGATACTGCTTCCGTTGTGATAATTTACATCTGATCCAATTCCACCAGTTACCGAAATAGTCGACTGAGTGTTGCGTGAATCAGAGTCCCCATCTGACTTTGACCGTACAATCCCAACAGCTCGACCATTATAATCACTACTATCATCACAACCATGACCGTAAGTACTATTACTACAATCAAGGCTATTCGAAGTGGTACTATTTATACTGTAAAACCTTTCACCAAGGGGGTTCAAGAGATGTTGCGATGAGAGGGAGAAGGTAAGGGCAGGGCCGCGGCGGATGAGGGAGGGTTCACCGGTGAGGCCCATCCGGTGGAGGAGGCGGAGGCGGCGCTCTTCCACCGACAACGGCTGGGAAACCCACACACCGTATTCATCATCATCGCGGTCGGAATTGGAGGGGGAGCCCGAGCAAGAAGTGTTGGAAGAAGAGAGGAGGCGGTCGAGGGAGTCGTGAAAGTGCTCATTCTCGCTTTTTTCATCCTCTTCCCCGGCTTGGCTCATCGTCTGTGACCTGCCATGGAAATCCGGTTCACGCCGACGGATCCATTTCCAGCTGCGGGTTCGGATCGGGGCACGGGAACCGGCTCAATGTGTCTTCTTCTACTGTCGGCAGAAGGACACACGCATGTTTGTGGGTGGGATTCGTGAGGTGGGTGTGATTGTGTGGGGAAACGCAGAGATCGAATCGAACAATATATGGAAGAATAGAGAGGACTCAGATCCGGTGATGAATTTGAGAGAGGAGAGAGGGAGAGAGAGAGAGAAGGGGCTTGTTCTGTGCAGTCGTGTGTTGGGATTTGGAAGGTGCTTTTGTTTGGTTTATGGGATTGGAGTTGTTATTTTGTTGTACAACTCACATAAATATAATATAATATAATATATACATTTCTAAAGGAAATGGCCTATGTAGTAGTAGTAGCCAGACAAAGAGGCAGCATTTATATTTGAAAATGCTACTTTCACATAATATTTTAAATAAATTAAATAATCTAATTATTATAAATAAGGAGTTTTATAACATGAAATGCTGGCCAATTATTATTTAGGGTCACAAATTTATTTTTTTTTATCAATCTAAGACTTAACGATATTGGAGTCTAGCACCCATCAGAAGGCTGCCAAACATGCTAGACAAAGATTTTGAAGTATGCAAGTGAAAGGTAAAATCAAGCATTTCTTTTGGAGAGGTGTAAACAATATCATTTTTATCAGCTGCAATCTCTTGAGGAAAGGTTTTGACATTGATCCAATTTGCAAAAATTGTAGAGAAGCTCCTGAATCTCAAGAACATTTGTTCTTTCACTGCTCTAGAACACAAAGAATATGGAAGCTTGCTCCTATTTTTTGGGATGGGCTGCACAAGGAGACTGACAGCTTCAAAACATGGTTGTTCAGAACTTGCTCTTTAAGCTCTTTTGGCTCTTCAGACAAAAGGATCCAACTAATTGCTTATCTGCTTTAGGAAATCTGGAAGTCAAGAAACCATTGGGTCTTTAAGCATTCTTTGAGGTCTGAGTTGTCTTTAGTAAATACTGTTGTTCAGGGTTGGTTGGAGTACTCTAGTTTGTAAATTTTCTGTTGTTTTTTGCTTTAGTACGTGATAGCTTACTAGGTTCTCTTAATTAGTGGCAAGTTGTCTTTTGTTGCCTCTTTTTGGTTCTTGTTGTTGAGGCTGGGGTTGAAAATCAAACTCCGGTTCCTTTGCCCGCCTCTACTAAAGTTTGTGCTTTAAGCCCTTTACTTTGGTTGTTAGTTTTTGGTTTAAGGTCACCTGCATGGTGGTCCTTCTTTTGGTTTTGTGTAGCAAGTTAGCCACGTACGGTTGTACTCTTCTTTTTCTTTGAGCTATAAATGCTTTTGTTCTGGAAAAAAAATATTACTAGTATTCGATTATGTGCATTTTCTAAAGTGTAAATAAAGTTGATATGAGATAACGGTAACTGGTCAACTAGACTTGGAAGATTGGACCGAATCGGATTATCCATCAGGTCGAATGGATAATGAAGAGTATACTGGTCGAAGGGGGAGGAGATCGAAGAGAACGCTAAGAACATGAAGGGTACGGTTAGGTCGAAGTGAGGCCTTTGGAAGGCCTGAGAGAAGTTCGAGCAGAGGGAACATCTGGTCCAACCGAGCGTAGTACTGGAGGTCAGTACCGATGACACTATACCTCGAGGAAATATGAGTTAGCCATGTGATTAGCCCATCTAATATGGAGGACTAAAGGAGAAGAAAGAATCTTAATGGATTTAAACCCCCACATGGGGGTAAAACCACGTGGTACCACCTGATTGGGCCACGCCTCTTAAGAGGCATGGACCGGACTGAACCTCATCGGCCTTCCGGTGACAACTGACTTAATTCAACCTTAGATCATATACTTTTACATAAGGTTGAATACTTTCACATATAAATCATGACTTCTAAAGCTTGGATATTGGCTTATAATCTCATGCAACTTAAAATGACTCAGAAGTGAAAATAAGCTAAAATTCACATGATAGATGACCGAGTACATGAACTCCAAACATGCTCAGCTTTTACCAACATGATATATATGATTTATAAGGATTTATAAGCTATCAAACTCAACTTAAACATGCTTGGTACTAAAAATTCGAATTTAAAGCACAATCAACTCAAGTGCTAATCATAACATGAAATTATGCTATTTACATTCGAGACTTCAAACAATTTTATAAAATCGTATACTCAACATTTTAAGCTGAAACTTGGTAAAATTGTTCACCACTCATGTGAGAATTTTACATAAAAGTTTCACGTTAAAATCTCGAACGTCGACTGAGTACTCTTGCATATAAAATCATCTCGACATGCATGCGGTCTAAACATTTTAACTCATTCATTTCTCAACCTAAAATCATGAAATTTTGCAGGAATGCTCTCAACACATATATAGACATGTCATAAACATTTTATAATTTTATCATGCATATATCTCGACTTATTCAAGTTTAAAATCGCTGCTGGAAACAGGTACATAAAATTCAGCTTGCATGATAAACTTTAAAAATCTATATCTCGAGTAATACTAAACCAAATGATATGATTCTTGTTCCTATGTACTCCTCATTACACAAGAATTACTCATTTAAATCATACTCATTCAGGTTATTCTTATCGTCATTAGAATCTCATTAAAACCGAGCACATACATCATACAATTGATCTTAGAACAACTTTAATCCCTTGTATTCATAAAATCAATTATAAACTGAACTTCTAAGTCATTAATATACACTAATAAACATTTAAACTCATCTACAAAGCATAAAATATAGATGAGTAAATTACTTTCTCCTTGCTAGAAATCAAAAGTTGATTCTTCACTTCTTCAAAAACCTTCTATAAATTATTTTTCTCTAATGAAATATATGATCTTTGAAATTTGACTTTGATGAAAATAATCTGATTCAAGGCCTCTATTTGTAGCCACAAAAAGGGGACAAGATGATTGAGTGAAGAAATAAACAAACCAAACTTGTAAAAATAAATAAAGATAATAAATGGAAATCATAACTTGTAAACTTAACCAATCTATAGTCAACTTTCCTCTCCTCTTCGCATTCTATGAGGTTGAAGCTCGAACTCAAATTAATACCTTTCTTTTAGGTAAGTGCTTGGCAAGGACCATCATGTGACCCTAATCTGATTTCCATGATGAAATTCGTGACATAAGGGAAAATATAGAATTTACGAAACCGAATTCTGAAACGAACAGTTACCATAAAATCGAAAATTCTAACAATTTTCCGATTTCCTTGTTTTGCTTTTGTTATTTTTCCTTTTTATGCCGAAAATTTTTTATTATCTTTGTTAGATTAGGGAATGATTGATAGATAGAGAAGAAGAGTTGCAGAGAGAAAGGAGAAAAGAAAAATAGTCTGCGGTTGAATTGAACAAAATGAGAATGAAAGTTGTTAGGGTTTACACTTGGTCTCAGGTATTTATACCTTATTCAGATAAAATGCTATTTACAAATCTAATAGGAATAATACAAGAGTTGCTATATCAAATGACAACTATTACATATATATTAATATCCCCCCTCAAGGTCAACATGGATATTCTGAATGTTGAACTTGGAAAGTAGATGGAAGAATGTAGGTGCTGATAATGCTTTGGTTAGGATGTCAGCCACTTGATCTTGAGAAGGAATATAGTGCAGTTTGATGATGCCATTGTTTATCTTCTCTCTTATAAGATGGCAGTCAATTTGTATGTGTTTAGTCCTTTCATGAAAGACTGGGTTGCTAGCAATTGCCATGGCTGATTTGCTATCTGTAAATAGAGAAACTGGAGAGCAATGAGAAATAAGGAAATCATCAAACAAGTAAAGGAGCCACTGAATTTCACAGGATGTAGTAGCAAGAGCCCTATATTCTGATTCAGCTGATGATCTACTAATGGTAGATTGTTTCTTTGATTTCCATGATATAAGAGAGTTTCCCAGAAATATAGAATATCCTTATACTTTTTCTACTATCTACACAACTTGCCCAATCACTGTCACTATAAGCATTCAAAGATAATGAAGAAGATCTGGGAAAGAACATACCTTGGCCAACAGTCCCTTTTACATACCTTAAAATTCTGTGAGCAGCAGCAAGATGTTGTTCTGTGGGACTAACCATGTATTGACTAAGAGATTGAACACTAAAAGCAATATCAGGTCTAGATATGGTAAGGTATAATAGTCTACCAATTAGCCTTCTATATGCAGTTATGTCTGTTAAAACAGGAGAAGTAGATTGACTAAGTTTTAAGTTGCAGTCCATAGGAGTTTTAGCAGGTTTGGATCCCAAAAAACCAGTATCATCAAGGATATCTAAAGCATATTTCCTTTGACACATATTAATACCTTTTGAAGAATGAGCAAACTCAATTCCTAAAATGTATTTCAATGTGCCTAAGTCTTTGATTGTGAAACAGGAATCCAAATGTTGCTTGACATTGGTAATAATAGTCAAATTGTCACCAGTTATGATAATGTCATCTACATAAACTAATAAAGCTGTAAATGAACCATTATCAGACATAGTGAACAAAGAAGAGTCTGCAACAGATTGTTTAAAACCATAAGTTAACAAACAAGAAGTTAATTTTTGAAACCATTGCCTGCTAGCTTGTTTTAAACCATATAAACTTTTAGTCAACTTGCAAACCCTGTTATCTGAATTAGAGCAATAACCTGGTGGGGGCAGCATGTATACTTCTTCATCTAAGTCTCCATTTAAAAAAGCATTATTTACATCAAGTTGATGTATATGCCAATTTTTAATGGAGGCAAGAGCAACAAGGAATCTGACTGTAGTTATCTTAGCCACAGGGGAGAAAGTATCAAAATAGTCTATTCCTTCCTCTTGTGTGTAGCCTTTGGCTACTAATCTAGCCTTATATCTCTCTACACTACCATCTGATTTGTATTTTATCTTATATACCCATTTGCAACCTATACAATGTTTACCCTCTGGCAAGTT